TGATGAGGAGAGGCTGAGGGAGCTGGGGGTGTTCAGCCTGGAGAAGAGGAGGCTGAGGGGAGACCTTCTTGCTCTCTCCAACTCCCTGAAAGGAGGGTGTAGAGAGGTGGGGGTCGGTCTCTTCTCTCAAGTCACAGGCGACAGGACAAGAGGAAATGGCCTCAAGTTGCCCCAGGGGAGGTTCAGGCTGGATATTGGGAAAAATTTTTTCCCTGAAAGGGTTCTCAGCCCTTGGAATGGGCTGCCCAGGGAGGGGGTTGAGGCCCCATCCCTGGAGGTGTTCAAAAGCCGGGTTGATGTGGTGCTGGGAGGGATGGTTTAGTGATGATGCTCCTTGTTTGTTGTGGGGGTGTCTATTTTTGTCAGTTGGGTTGACGGTTGGACAAGATGATCTTGAAGGTCCCTTCCAACCTAGAAGATTCTGGGATTCTGTGACACGGGGACACACTCCCCCAGGAAAGGGGACACAGGGTCCACAGGGCTGTTCGGGGGGGGAATTTGGGGACTAGAACCCCTCCAGAACCCACCGCGGCGACACCACATGTGTGCAAACATACATGTCTCCACGTGTCCCCCCGTGCACACGCGTGTGCCCCAGGTGTGGTGAAGCCCGACAAGTACAAGCCGGTGCCGGACGAGCCCCCGAATCCCACCAACGTGGAGGAGACGCTGCGGCAGATCCAGGCCAACGACGGGGCTCTGGAGGAAGTCAACCTCAACAACATCAAGGTGAGGGACCCGGTGGCACTGTCCCCAGGGTGTCCCCAGGGTGCTAGTACCGGTCCTGGGGTGCCAATCCCCATCCTGGGGTGTCCCCGTGAGGGTGGTCCCTACCCCAGAGTGTCTCCAGGGCACTTCAAGGTGGTGGTCACCAGGCTGGGGCACCACTGAGACCTCCAGAGTGTCCCCAGGGTGTCCCCAAGGTGCTCTCCCTGCCCAGGATGGTGCCAGGGAGATGGGTGTCACCCTGGGGTGTCCCCGTGAGGCTTGGTCACCCTGTCCCAGGGTGCTGCTCGCTGTCCCAGAGTGTCCCTGTGGGGTTGGTCCCTGTCTTGGGGCATCCCTGGGGTGTTTGTCCCCATCCTGGAGTGGCTCCAGGGCACCCCAAGGTGCTGGTCCTCACCCAGGGGCACTCGTTGTCCCCTTGGTGACATCCCACATCCCTTCAGTGCCACTTACATCCCTCGGGTGACACCCAGCACCTTCTCGGGGTGTCACCCTTGGAGACATCTGCACCCCCTTACTGCCATTCACATCCCCCTGGTGACACCCACGTCCCCTCAGGGATGTCCCCCATCCCCTTGGTGACACCTACATCCCCCTGGTGACACCCACATCCCCTCAGGGATGTCCCCCATCCCCTTGGTGACACCCACATCCCCCTGGTGACACCCACGTCCCCTCAGGGATGTCCCCCATCCCCTTGGTGCCACCCCCGTCCCCTTGCCGCAGGACATTCCCATCTCCACGCTGAAGGCCATCTGTGAGGCCATGAAAACCAACACCCACGTCAAGAAGCTCAGCCTGGTCGCCACCCGCAGCAACGACCCCGTGGCCAACGTGAGTCCCAGCCCCCCGTGTCCCCCACTCTGTGTCCCCAGACAGGGAGGGGACACGTTCCCCTGCCCTTGGCTCCATCCTGGACACCAGCAAGACCAGGTGATGGTGGCTTTTCCACCATCATCTGGGGCATCGGTGGCTTTTCCACCATCACCTGGGGCACCGGTGGTCTGGGATGTGCTGGAGGGGGGGTTGCCAGCCTCAGGTGACACCCCGAGGTGACACCCTGAGGTGACACGCAGGCGGTGGCCGAGATGCTGATGGAGAACAAGACCCTGCAGAGCCTCAACATCGAATCCAACTTCATCACCAGCGCCGGGATGATGAGCATCATCAAGGCCATGTACAACAACACCACGCTGAGCGAGCTCAAGGTGGACAACCAGGTAAGGGACAAGGCACCTATGGGTGGCCAGGGGAGGGGACAAAGGTGTCCCCAACTCCCCGGTGTCACCCCGTGCCCGCAGTGCCAGCGGCTGGGTGACACGGTGGAGATGGAGATGGCCACCATGCTGGAGCAGTGCCCCTCCGTCGTGCGCTTCGGCTACCACTTCACGCAGCAAGGCCCCCGCGCCCGCGCCGCCATCGCCATCACCAACAACAACGAGCTCCGTGAGTGGCCCCCCGCATCCCCTCCCGGGCCAGGAGGTGGGGTGTGGGGAGGGGGGTCCCAACCCTGACACCCCCCTTCTTTTTCACCCTGTCCCCAGGTCGCAAGCAGAAGAAAACCTAAGGCCCCCCCCCCCCCCCCC